AAAAAAAAAAAAAAAAAAAAAAAAAAAAAAAAAAACACATCTTAGTAAAACCAATACCTTCTCAGCTTCGCATCGAAGCTAAAAAATATATCTGATATAAATGATCAATATTTTGGAAATTTTAATTGTTTTTCTATAGATCCCATTATAAAACCAACCAATAAAAAAATAATAATATTTAAAGTAAATAAAATAAAATAATAAAATAATTTATAGTTTTAAAATATCTAATTATTATGCTCATTAAGATTAAAGAGGAACGAATGATAGAAGATATCAATAATTTATTAAATTCAGGGGAGGTACCTAATTTGTTTGAAACTGATGAAAAAATTGAATTGTGTGAGAAAATTCGCGTATTAGACAAACAACGTGATAAAACTATACAAGTAATAATTATAACCATGTATTTTTTCTTAAACTAAAATATCATTCAATTAAATCATTTGGTAGACTGATGGAAGTATGACCGCCTTGTTTAATTACTTCGTTCAGTTAGTAAAAGAACAACTCCACGTGGCTTTAACTTTTAGCCCAGTTGGCGACAGTTTCCGTAATAGGATAAGAAAGTTTCCGTCTTTAGTGCAGTGTTGTACAATTGATTGGTTTCAGGTAAGAATAGATCAATTTAGTATATTATTTTTCTCAAATTATATTATATAAAAATATCAACAAAAAAACCAATAGAGTTAGACAACGACACAATGGGTACCCGGATTGAGAAGAACATTATAGGTTGAAATCTGACAGTGATTAAATGCCTTAAGTCACCCTTTAATGAATTTATTGTATACCCTGAAATGTGCAAAACTCAGATTTACAAAAGAAATATGCTGAATTAACAGAACATATTTAAGATATTCCCAAAAAACTGTTTAATTTTTTAAGGAATTGCCACTATTTTTGAAAATAGGGAATTTTTTTTAATTTAAAATTTTTTTTACTCGTCTGAAAAATGTACAGAAATCAACTACTGTTTTTTCCCTGTATTCTTAAATTTTTTTTAATTGACACTTACCTACCTACATCTACCATTTAAAACAAACGTTTCAATCTATAAATAAAAATAGCTAACTATTACTTCCTTAACTATGATACTATACCTTTCAGAAAGTTACTTGAATTTTTAGATTATAATAATATTATCTATCATTTAACTTTGAAAAAATTTAGGATAAATCACCCCATAGAAAACGCCTGGATACAATGCTCTTTAACCTAGATAATTTTTAAATCGAAATTATTAATTAATTTAGGCTTGGCCAGCTGATGCATTGTTGGCCGTAGCAACAAAATTTTTAGGAAATGTAGAATTATCTGAGCACGAACGAGGAGTTTGTATACACATGTGTCAATCTTTTCATACAACCACTCAGAATCTATCCCATGAATTTGAAATTAGATTAAAAAGGAAAACTTACATAACACCAACATCATTTTTAGAACTAATATCTACGTTTAAAGATATTTTGGAAAAGAAAAGACAGTAAGTTTTTTTTTGTGATTATATTATATTACCAGTGGTGCCGCACAATGATTTAAAATCAAAATTAGCATAACTTATATTTTTTTATTCAACACAAAAAAATACAGAAATTCCCACTTCTTTATGTTTTATAGGTCAATGATTTCAAATTTAATAACACTTTTCAAAATTATAACTGACAATATTTTAAACCTTTGCTTTGCTGACGATAATAAGAGGAAAAATGTTAGAAAAATTGATTATTTCGGATTAGTTGAGTAGTAAAAATGATCGATTTTGAAAACTTTGTTATTAATAACATGCATTCTTCATAATTATATTAATTTAAAGATTAATAAATGTACTATAAGATAAAAAAAAAGTACAGAGTGGTCGTTAGCATAGTGGTGACACATAAAAAAAACACACTTCAATGCAAATCTGTCAAAATAAATTGTATATATGTGATTTTACAATTTCTATATTATAAAATTCCACTCAAATATTAAATGCTTGTTAAATTATTTGCTTCATTAATAATAAAGTAATTTTAATCTAAATCTGCCCGAGACTAAAAATATTCATAACCAAAGCAGATTTTTTTTTATTTCCACTATTGTCGCTCTATATCTACAAAAATTTACTTGATATTCCGCGTGTAATTGATGATTAATTAACTTATGGGTATTATAGTAATAGAATAATAGTATTAATACTTAAGAGTAATAGTATTTAAATAGTTGGACCAGAATAAACGGTGTCAATTTTATAAATTGAGATAATTGATGTCAAGTTTATGTGATGTTTATTTTTAACCCATCAACGCCTCGCGTCCCCATATGGTGACATTCGTATTGCTATTTTTATCGCGCGAATAATTTAATAGGTAAAAGCCGAGTGTACCCATATGATGACACTCAATATCTCAGAAATCGTATTTTCAAAAAATTTAAAAATAATTTTTTTTTCATTTTTGTGTTGTATATTAATCTGTTTTTAGTAAAAAAAATTGAAAGTTTGAAAAAAAATAATTCTCGGCGTTGATGGGTTAATTTTAATAACTTTGTTGACTATTTGGTTTTTTTCTGGTTCTCAAAAACATTCTTTTAAAACCATCTGGCCTGCTAAACAAATTAATTGCCTACCCCTGTCATGGAAGACAATCGTAAAATAATATTTTTTTAATAATCTATTACATTTTAGAAACAATAATTTGATATAGATTAAAAGTTGTCAGACATCCATAAACATTTTCAAAAATTAAAAAAAAAAATTTGACTGTGTACTCATTTAAACCTTTCATGTACTTGGTTTTCAATTAAATAATATAAATAACTTATCAAAAGATATAAGACTTACAGTAAAATAAAAAATTTTTATCTAAGTTTTACTGAAATTTAGTGATATTTAAATCAAATAAATCAAATAGAAAAAATATCGTTTTTTTCTATCTTAAAATAATATTTAATAAGGCGAAGGGAGGTATAATAAAAACAATTTTTCTTTTAGAATATTTAGCAGATTTGATTTTAGATTGAATAGTATTGGTCATTATGTGAGTTATAATCGTATTAGTTTTAAGCTCGAAATAAAACGTGTACATTTATCTAATAAAATATATTTACTATTATCCTAATCGTTTATAATTCTCCCAATTCACCTTTTATCATAGCTATAATTTGATGTAGGTTTGAAAAACGCAGACATCTTGAACATTTTTGAAAATGAAGTAATATTTTATATATATTTGGCGTTTTTTATAATACACTTATTGATTAAATCGATGGAATTTTTTCAGTGTAAAGAAAAAATAATAATTCTACCTTCTCCTTTTACCCCTTAAACAAATATAAATATTAGTATTTAAATGACAGTATATATATTTATATGGCTTGCAATATAGAAAATTATCTAATTAAGAAAATGTCTGGTCGATAACAACTTTTAAATAAGTATTTTTTAAGATTTTAAATATTTCAAAATGAAAGCTGAAGTTGAGGCAAGGGTCTCATTATTTTTTTTACTATTATTTTTTTTGTCATTACTAGACATAAAGTATAGTTACTCAATTACTTTGTAAATACTACAGGCTAATTTTACGTCATTATAAAATGTTATGAAAAGGTATATATTTTTATTTGTTTAATGAACTAATTAATTTTATGCAAAACATCGTTATACATTTAGAAGTCAAAGGAAACACTACAAATAATGAATAATTTAATTTTTAATTAAATTGCTTTCGTAAGATACATAATTTTACAGCGATTTTCTCAACAGCCCGGATAGCTCAGTCGGTAGAGCATTAGGCTTTTAACCTAAGGGTCCAGGGTTCAAGTCCCTGTCCGGGCGGTAACTTTTTGCATAATTTGTTTAACTTATTGAATCATCAATATAAATTTATGCTTACATATAAGTCTGTACTAGTTTTTTATTTTATAAAAATTATTACTATGAAAATAATAATTAGTTTTCAAAATATGTAGAGATGATTTTATAACTTCTAAGACTGGTTCCACATAAGGAAAATCTAAGTCTAAGTAATGCCACTTAACTAGTTTTCTCTTACGCGTTATTTTATATTTTGGAAATATTAAAAAAAATTAACTTTTTAATTTTTAATATCTCATACTTGTATAAAAGTGATTTTTCAAAGCATGCTTTTTTATATCCTTTTAAAAAAATTATCATGCTCAAAATTATTAATTAGTAGTTCTAAACATGATGAATTTTTTGTCACATTAAATCGACATAGATTCAAATTATTAAGGTTAAATAAAATTTTTTAAAATTTTTTGATAGTTTATAAAACTGTATTGCATGAACAATATTGAAAAGAATTATTATTTATTGTGATTTATCATTAAGCATTTTATTTACTAATTATGCATGCATCTTATGGCAATATAATACCTTGTCCGCAAATAATAATTACTTTGCAAACTAATTATGAAAGTGTAAATATTTTAACTATATTAAAAATGTTGTAATAGAGTTTATATTTTATTTAACTATTAAATAATTTTAACCGAAACTATTACATCTAAATAAATCAAAATTTTGTGACTCAGAAGTTAGATATTATCATTTGTGTTAGTGTAAATATTAAAATTTTTAGTTGTGCCACTATTTTTACCGATAAACATAAATTATATTTAAAATTATAAAATATTTACCAAAATTGGGGTCATATAATTTATTTTGTGAGAAATGTTATGGCGTTAATAGTTATTTATATATAATATACAGAATGATTCACTAACTATGCTTCACGAATATTCTATAAAAAAATCAGTGTTATTATCATATATATAATTATTTTATTTGTTATAAATCTTTGTTAAGCTTTTTAACAAGAAAAATAAAGATGTCATCTTCATCCTTTAACCCTCAAATCAATATAAACTTTAGTTTTTCAAATAGCAACTCAGTCTTATTTTTATTAATCTGTTGAGCATAAAAAAAAATTCTCAAAAAAAAAATCAATTTTATTAAATTCTAAACGAGATATCACTATTAAAAGTTTAGGGGATTTAATAATTAAAAAAGTTATAGTATTGTATAGTACTGCGACGTAAAATTTGGGCGTGTTTTATAAATCAACGTGAGTAATACACACGTCCCCTAAACTTTAATGAATCATAGCATGCTGATAATTAAATAAAATAAACAAATTTTTTAAGAACAATTTTTAGCTTCGATGGGAAGCTGAGAAGGTATTGGTTTTTTTATGATGTGTTTTTTTTTTTTTTT